CTTTTTTTGTTGGCTCTTTACCCAATCTGGGTATCAGTGTGATGTTAGCTTCATAATATGATTTGGGGAGAATTCCATCTTTCTCAATTGCCTGGAATACTTTCAATAGAATTGGTATTAGCCCTCCTTGTATGTTTTGTAGAATTCCTCTGAAAAGCCATCTAGTCCAGAGATTTCTGTCTTTTTTTTTTTTTTTTGGTAGGTAGTTTTCTTATGATAGAATCAATTTCCTGGGTTATTATTGGTATATTTAGTATCTCGATGTCTTCTTGTTTCAACCTTGGGAGGCTGTGTGATATCAGAAAGTCCTCCATTTCATTTAGGTTAACAAGTTTGTTTCCATGCAGGTGTGTCTAGTAATCTGTTCCCTAGTCCCTGCTCAGTCAGCCACTCACATGCCCACTTACTCACTCACACATATGCAAAATTTTCTATATACTCACTCACTCACACTGGGACTCACTTAGTCTGACTGGCTCTGCTGCCATCTTCCCAAGAATCCACATTACTTGATTTTTAACTCAGTGAAGAGAGAATAATTTTCCCAACAAATTACTGGCATGAGTAGATATCTATGTACTTAAAAATTAACTTCAGACTTTACACCATATATAAAAATTAACTCAAAATGGATCATAGACCTAAATGTAAAACTTAAAACTATAAAACTTTAGAGGAAAACCTTTTTCCTTTGAGTTAAGCACAGATATTTTGGATATGACACCAAAACCATGATCTATAAAAGAACAAAACACTAGATTGAACTTCATCAGAATTTAAAATTACACTCCTTAAAAGTCATCTTTAAGAGAACGAAAAGAAAAGGTATAGACTGGGAGAAAATATTTGCAAAATATATATCTGAAAAAGTATATATCTGCAATATATAGAACATAATTCTCAAAACTCAATGATAAGAAACAAACTGATTTATAAATTTTTAAGAGATACTTCACCAAAGAATGTCAAATAAGCACCTTGAAAAGATGTTTAAAGTCACTAGTAATTAGAGAAATTTAAATATGTAAATTAAAACCAGATTGAGATACTGCCACACGCCTATTAAATGACTAATATTAAAAAGACTGACCATATCAAACATTGGCCAAGATATGACAGAACTTGTACTCTTATCCACTGCTGGCAGGAATGTATAATGGTGCAACCAACCACTTTGGAAAATAGTTTGTCAGTTTCTTCAAAAGTTAAACTCTTAATTTGGCTATTCTACTCCTAGATATTTATCCAAGCAAAATTAAAGCATATGTCCATATAAAGGTTAGTACACAAATATTCATAGAATCTATGTGTAATAGCCAAAAATTGGAAACAACTCAATGTTCATCAACAGATGAATGGATAAACAAACTATGATGTATCCATGTGATGAAGTACTACTCAGCATTGACAGGGAATGGATCACTGATACTTGTAGTGTCATGGATGAATCTCATGATAATAATCTCGAGTAAAAGCAGTTAGACCAAAATGAAGTCTATACTATAAGATTCTATTCATTTAAAAGTTCAGAAAACGTAAACTAATTTATAATAACACAAGTAGGTCAGTGATTGGCTGGGAATGGGAGGGATCGAAGGGAGGATTTACAAATGGACACAAGGAAACTTTTGGAAGCGATGGTGTTTTCACAAGTTATGTGTGTGCGTGTGTGTGTGTGTGTGTGTGTGTGTGTGTGTGTGTGTGTGTGGTGTGACAATTAAGTTCTGGAATAGTCATCAGAGCTGTCATTATATTACCCTTGATGTCCTGAATGTCATCAAAATGTCTTCCTTTCAATATTTCTTTTATCTCTGGGTAAAGCAAAAAGTCATTGGGGGGCCAGATCAGGTGAGTAGGGAGGGTGTTCCAATACGGTTATTTGTTTACTGGCTAAAAACTCCCTCATAGACAGTGCTATGTGAGCAGGTGCATTGTTGTGATGCAAGAGCTCCTTTGGGACTATTTTTACACACATCTTTCTTGTGACAAGATTTTCAGTTCAGACTCTCCTAATAACTATTTCTCTATTGATGTTTATTTGGTCTGTTATGCTTCTCATAGTCAGCTGATGATTTTGACACACAATTCGATGAATTCTTGCAATGTTTTTTGTCAGTTCTGCTTGTTACTGGTCATCCTGACCTCTTTTCATTAGTGACACTTTATCTCCCCTCAGAAAAATATTTAATTCATTTGTACACTGCTGTTTTCTTATGGCATTATCCCCATAAGCTTGCACTAACATGTTCCTGATTTCACTTTCACTCTTGTCAAGTTTAACAAGAAATTTAATGTTTGTTTTTTGCTCTAATTCAAGCTCCGACATTCTCTTGATGACACACAAAAACATGCAGTAACAATAATGAACGCCACTCAGCAAGACACCACCACACATCTACATGAACACAGCTGTCAGACACTGATATACCAAGATTACGAAGCCTAACCAAGTTGTTTGTACAGTGCTGCACACGGTGGCAAGTTTGTGAGCTTAATTATAAACTTTAAGTATATGAAGCTTATTGTATGATAGTTATAACTCAATAGAGCTGTTTAAAATAAATACATTACCCAGCAAAAACTGATGAGTAGTTGTAGTCACATTAGACTACTGTCCCTCCACCAGAGACTACAGTGCAAAAGCATTGCTTAAGATAAAGGCAATCATATATGTTGATAATTGTTCAGTAAAAATATAACACATTGTGACCAAATCGCGTTTATTCTGGCAATGCAAGGTTGGTACAACATTAAAGAAACTATGATATTTGTGTGATCTACCACATTAACAGATCAAAGAAAAAAATTATCTTCTCACCTGATCCTGGAACAGCATCTGATTTAATTCTGTAACCATTTATGATATTAACTCTAGTAAATTAGGAATAGAAGAGAACTTTTCTAACTTGGTATGTGTTATCTACAAAAAGGCCTTGAGAAAATGTGTCTATGAAATATTGAGGGCAGCCCCCCCCTTTCAAAACCAGGCAGTTGAAGGCAAGGAGGCCCATTCCACTATGAGCAATTTTGTTTAGTGTTTTAATGCCAGTTCTAGCTAGCTCAGTAAAGCACAGTCCTGTCTGTTTTTTCCTCCTTTCCATTCTAACACGCTCCATCAGCCTTCTTGCCCCCCAGTGACCTCCGCACTGTAAAATCCAACAGTCACCTCCCAGAGCTTGGACCCTTCTGCTGCTTCTCTCACTTTCCTGGATCAACTCCCAGCTCCCTGGTCATTCCTTTGGGTCTTTCTGTCTTCAGTGTTTATTTCTAGCCTGGACTGCTGACCACTCTCCTGGGCTTGCCTGTCTCGGTGCCTACCTGACATCTCTACCTGGATTCCCAGCAGATGTCTTAAAATTGGCATAATGAAAGACTAAGTCATGACCTTCCCACCAGTTTCTTACAAACTTTTTCATAACTCTTCCCCATCTTAGAAAAAGACTACTTCCTCCTTCCAGTTGTTGAGGGCAAAAATGTTGGTGTTGTAATTGATTTCTCTTTCTTTCCTACTCAGTTCTCTGGTATTTACCACTTTATTTTGTCTGCTTAGCCTTTAAGATATATCTAGAATTTGACTTCTCACAGGCTCTACTGCTCTACCCTTGGCCCCATCACTAGCACCTCTTGATTTTATGATCATTGTGATCTCCTAACCTACCTCCTGGCTCTACCTCTCCCCTGCCTTGTGCCAAGTCTCTTCTCAGCCTGACAGCCAGAAGGATCCTTCTGAAGCCTACATCTTCCCCTCCGTTCTGAAGCCAAGAGAACAAGGCAGTGACCTAAGCTCCTGAGGAGCTGTCTGTCCATCACACTTGCCCATCACAGCTGCTTCAGCTTCTGTTCCACTCACCTCACTCTATCGTAACTGTACTGGTCTCCTTACTGTTTCTGGAACATGCCAAGTAGTCTCTCACCTCAGGGTCTTTGTGTTTCCTGTTGCTTCCACCTGGAACGTTTTTCTCCTACATGTCTAAATGGCTTTTCCTCTTTGGGCTTTGCTCACATGTCACCTTAGGTGACTGACCATCATATTGAAATTGCAAATTACCCCCCTTCAAGCCCTCCTGCTATTCCCATCCTTCTTCCTTGCCTCATTTTATTCCATGGCACATCACTATCTTATGCACCATGTATTTTATATTTACTTAAAAAGTATTATCAGTAGTCTTATAGATATTGCATGGACATGGCAGAATTGTGAAGGCAGCACCCTGAGAACCGGACTTTTGGGAAACCCAAGTCTTAACAATTGGCTTGTGTGCTTGAACTAATCTGGTAGCCCTGAGGAACAGGTGTACCAACCCAGAGGACAGGTCTGGGAGGAGCTCTGGGGAGATGACTGTGGTCCTGGGTTTAAGGATGAGTAAAGAATGAGTAGATGAAAAAGGGAGGGAGGGAAGGACACATTTGATGATAATGAGGAGACACATGGGGTGATGATTTGAGGGGGTGTGAGCCTCATCTTTCTGTGACCCGTGACTTCCTGCCAGCTTTATTTTCCTGTTAATTCCCTGGGAAGAAGGGCTTTGGTGTAGACTCAAGCCCAGGACCTGATTTCCCACTTACCTGAGTTCAAGCTGGATGAGTTACTCAACTTCCCAGATTTGTTTCCTCATCTGTGAAAAGGGAGAATACCTCCTTCATACGATTATTGCAAGGAGTATATTCTTTGCCTGGCATAGGATTAGTGTTCATTGAATTTGTCTTTTATTGGCTATTATCTGTGCAAGAGAACCAAATGAACAACTGCTTTGAGGCTGCCTGAAACTTGGTCTGCTATTCACATGCTATTTATCAGGTTGCTGGTACTTAAAGAGAAAATGGTGTTTATTTGAATGAGGGGAGAATTTTGAAATTAAGGCATTAAGTAAAAGTGAGTCAACACCAGCTTTGGTTTTCTCTGAACCCTGACTAGATAAACCCTATCACAGATAACTTTATAGTTATGTTAATGACTCAACACATTAAAATTTCTCTCTTGGTTATTTTTTCTCTTTTAGTCTGAACCTGAGGGCTTTTCTCATTTCCACTTGTACGTTTGTGCTGCTTTTCTCGTGAGATGGAGGAAAGAAATACTAGAAGAAAGAGATTTTCAAGTAAGTAATGCCTTTTCAAAAGAATCTGAGTTTGATTTTCTACTAGCAGAGAGGTTTATTAAATTTTAGTTCACAGGGTTATTTGTGGAAGAGCTTTGAGAAGTGCTAGTTGCATTTCACTACTGACCTCCTGCTGGTTGAAAGCTAGTCCAACTGAAGAGACAAATCTGGCAGCGGTCACATGGTCTTGGCGGTGGAAACGCTGTCAACATTTCAAGTTATTAGATATGGCTGTGTAACAAGCTCCCCACAGAAACTTCCCTGAGCCAGCATGTCCTCAGCAGCGTGACTCCTAGAAGGGGTGGCATGTGACCTCTGGCCTCCAGAAGCCTCTTCACGACACTTGGACTGTGATGCATTAGAGATTAGACTGGGTGAGAAATCACACACCTGAGATTCCTTCTGGCCAGGCCACCTGGAGGCCCCAGGCAGATGTTGCTGCCTTCCTGGGTTGTCTATGCCTACTAGGAGGTGGGGTAGGAAAGAGTTGGGGTGTTGTGAGACCCTGAAGCTGTAGAGCACTATGCATGAGGAAGTGATCTTTGTCATCCCTAGAAATTGCTCTGCATGGGAGACCCCGAGCCACATATGGTTGGGGGGAGAGACCATAAGCAAAGGGCTTTGCCTCCATTTGGTCTTCCATTTCTTCTGTCTGCTTTCCAAATAGGGAGAGTGCCACCACACTCCCCTTCCCACAAGGTGGCTTAAGGCCGACCAGATGAATGTTGGCCTGCACATTGACTGTGGGAGCGTGTAGGCAGCATTTCTTCCTGTTATGATGACGTGTGATGACGTGCAGTAAAGTGCCACATGGGTTCTGGGGGCGGCATTTCTTCCTGTTATGATGACTGCAGTGAAGTGTCACCCTGGTTCTGGGGACTGAAGCAGGTCTGTGATCCCCTGGGGGTGGAAGACAGAAGATAGGAACCCTGACATTGAGTTGGTGGTGGACCTTCTCCTGCTGTGTCATGTGATGGTGACATTCAAGGGTCGCTGGCAGGGGCAGACGTAGCCTGAAGCACCAGAATTCATGATGGCCTTGAAAGATGCAAATGACAAGGTGCTCAAATTCATCAACCTGCCATATTTCATCACACTTTTATGTAGAGACACAATTTGTTTGCTCTTTGGCTGGAGACATTGCCCTGCTGTAATTAGAGGGTGCAACTCGGGAAGCTGATTAAAATGTTTTTGACTTCTCAGAGCCTGCTCACTTAACTTGAGATCAAGGGAGGACAGGAGACGGGTGCAGCCAAGCAGATGGGGTGCGGGAGCGGGTGTGGGTACTGGGTGCAGTGCAAACCCCAAGAGCCTGTGGAGCCCCTGCAGCTTGAGCCGGGAGCAGGGGCTGCCAGAGGAACCACAAGATTTTTTTTTTCTCTAAGCTCAGAATAAATTAGTGCTTTGATGTCAGGGGACTGGATGGAGAGATGCTATGAGCACCAGCATGTGTTGTGGGGCACTGAACTAAATGGGAAAGGAGATAAGAAGAGAAAACAAATTAAATAAAGAACCCGAGGAATCCTGGTGAGCATGGAGGAATTGTGTTTGCAATTGTGACATTTTAGGAAAATGATTCCGCAACCATGGAATGCAGCCTGAATGAGAGAGACCCAGAACGTGAGTCTGTAGCAATAGAACATTCATGGAAAATGATTTTAAAAGCTCTTACTCTTTGCAGCATTGTAATTTGCCTCTTGGGAAATAATGTGTTGCTTTAAGTCATTTCCATAGGAACAGAATCATTTTTTGAGGACAAGGTATTCCCAGAAGAAAGGCAGAGGCTCTCCTGGTATTAAACAAGAGCCAAGCATTCTGGGCCTGGGGAGAGAGGGAGTGATGGGGTGTTCTCTGTATTTAATTCCTGAAAACTTGGGCAGGAAAGGAAAGTTGAAGCATTGTCTGGTATGGGGAGGGGTGAGGGAGGTGGGGCAGGGTTTTGGGCTGGGATTGGGGCTGTACTCTGGGCCCTGGATGGCGGTATCTTCTGGAGTGAATGTTTCCTCTTGTACTGAGTGCTGGATCCAAGGAGGTATATACTTCTCCTGGAGAATTTGCCATCACCTCTGCCAGACTTGCAGATGCCCTCTGTTTCTAATCCCTAGCTCTGTGTGGACACTCTGCCCCTGGGCATTTCCTCACTGTATCCCATGGGCTCCACTTGTTGTGTCCAATGGGGTCTCTCCATGGCACCCTCCTCCTACCTCTGCCAAGCACTGAGGTTCCAGCCTCAGCACCCACAGCTTGGACTCTGCATCCCACCTGCCTTCTTCCAGCCAGACTTTTGTGTATCTTGGAGGTGAGAGGAGGTCCCCTGGGACCCACTTGGCACCATCTACTTTTGTCCTTTCCTCTGTAGGCTATTTTAAGTGGGTTATTTTATAGGCATATTTTGTACCTTGGCCGAGAAAGTGTGAGTTGAGGGGGGGCCTTGCCTTCCTTCCGGACCCTCTTCCCCCTCCCTAGGGACCTCTGGCTCATCTGGCTGATTCAGGCCTGCAGACCCTTCTCAGGCTCCCATAGCCCAGTAAGCCCTTGAAGGACTGGCTCCAGGGGTCAAGGCCTGCTCAGAAACCTTCCATGGCTTCTGTTGCTGGGGCATGAGTCCTAAATCAGAACTGCAGTCACATCTCTCATGAAGCATCTGCATGCTTGTTCTGGTGGACTGGGAGATGTACTTTAAACTCCACATGTTGGCATTACTGGGATCTGTTGCTGATTTATGAGTGGAGCATTATAAAATCTGAAAATAGGCCATCCTAGAAAATCTTCAGTATATCCACTTTATCCCTCAAAGTCTAGACCTCTCAGTTTGACATCCCAGAGTTCTGGGGATCTGACCTCCCCTTCATCAGCCAGCCCCCTGTTCTCTGGTCCCAGTCCTTGCTAGCCTTCCCCACCTCTGGAGTCCAGCTGCCCTCACCCTGAGTTTGACTGAGAGGGCATCACCCAAATGGGGTGGTTCCTACCCTGCCAGCTTCTAGGAAATGCCTGCCTCGAAGTTGTATAAATGCAGAAGCACCTTGTGAAGTTGGAAAATTCTCCACACATATAAGGAATCAGGACTGTTGTTGTTTTTAATTTTAAGTGACCGAGCCCCTTAGTCACAAAAGGGGATGGCAGTTGGCAGTGTTTTGTTTTCCTAAGTAGAGAATGTGATTAATTTATGGTGAACAGAGTGTGGCACTTCCAGTGAAGTTGGGAACTTTCTCTGAGGAGGCCTCGGCAGCTTAGAGGCCTGTAAATATCTCTGATAAATTAGTGTGTTGCTGCCTATTGTTGATGAATGACCGGCCTCATTAGGAGACACAACTTCCATGTGTTCATGGTGACTGCCTACCCCGGGAGGCCTGTGAATGCAGCATGGAGGCAGGGTGGAGGGCCAGGGCTCTCATTCTAGAAACATGTTGTCTGCACACAGTCCTATGTCCCAGTGAGATCCCCAGCTGCTCAGTGGATGTGCATGAGAAGGACCCAGCAGGTGCCAACCTGCAGTGCTTGGCACCCAGGAGCCTTCACCTTACTCTTGTGAATTTCAGTCTGAGCTCTGTGACATCTGCCAGCCACTCAGTGGGGAAACCTGACAATAACTGGTGTGTGCAGTATCTTCAGTCTTGTTTGATGACCCTGATCCTCATAGCCTCAGCCAGTTTGTTTGTTCCTTAAGTGAACGCCCTTAGAACCCTTTCTCTGGGCTAGGCCCTGTGCTGTTGTGATAGTCAGTTTTCAACCACCAGGGACAGGTCAGCAGGGGAAGGACAAGTGAGTGAAGAGGCTACTCTGCAGGGGTCAGTATGGTGGACAAGGGGCCAGGGGCCAGGAAATAGAAGTAATAGATCACTTGAGAGGGGAGCCTGTGGGGGAAAGAGAACCAAAGACAGGACAGAATGGCCTTCCTGTCATGGAGTGTATCTGTAACCACCTGTCCTGCAATGTGAAGTGATTTGGTGAATTTGATGCTGAGTGTGCATTGGCAACTGGAACATAAGAAGCCCTAAAAGATACAAATGGGAGATTGGGCAGAGATGGGACGGCATAGCACAGATATGAAGCAAATAGATTTTCATCAAACGCCGAGGAGGAAAACTTGAACAGAGCAAAGAGACATTTTATACTAAGACACTGTCCACGGTGAGGATGCAGCCGCAGCTGCAGCATGGTGGCTACGAGTGGTACCATTGCAGAAGCTGTAAAATGGCCTGATGGTTGCTCCAGGGTTTGCAGGTCCAAGGCACTGAATCTCATTATAAATGCAGGTTTCCTGATGTGCTTGCTTTATAGAGGCCGTGATTTGTGCAGTTTTCTGTCTGTATATGAAACTTAAATCTGTATAAAACATATAAAGAAATTCAGTGAAGCAACTGTAGGAGGAAAGTTTAAGCATATTTTATTGGATAAAAGTAAGGTGGATTGTGAATCTGAATGGTAGGAAAAAATAGGAGTGATTTAAGCGTTCTGGGTGGAATCTGTACCAAAAAAGAATGTGTCTTCTTTCTAAGTATTTATGGAACATTTACAGAAATTAATCATCTAACCTAGGCCATAAAAATGTCCAAAATCAGAAAAACAGCAATGATACAACCTGTATTTATAGAGCAAAATCCTTTAAAACTAGATAGTAATAAGGTTAAAACTAAATAATCAAGTACTTGGATATTAAAGAACCCCTTTCAAAATGACATGGGTCAAGATGGAAGTGATTCTGCAATTACAGAGTGATAGTCAAAAGCATAAGGGATGTGGCCAGTGCTGGCTTGCAGATAGATTCAAACCAAAATTCTTTTATTATTTAAAAATGTGAAGACAAAAAACTAAGCCTTTAACTCAAGAAGTTAGAAGCGGAAAAATAAAGTCAACTTATAAAGACGATAATCCAAATGAATGGATTAGAAAACAAAGTTGGTAAGTAGAATTGCTAAGTACATCTTAGAGGGGCATTTAAAAATGCCAATAAAATAGGCAAACCTTTAACAAGCAGAGCCAAGATAAATGGGTGAAAA